ACTGGAAGCAATTATAAAATTCCGAATTATTAAAACAAATATTATTTATGCAAATAATTCCTTAACTGATCATTTCGAAATTATATTATGTTCATTATATTATGTTCTTTTCTTTCCATCATTTAAATTGGATAATATATAAAATTTAAATTTTCCTTCCATCATTTAAATTGAATAATATATACATTAATCATATGTAAATTGAAATTATTGAATATTGATTATATTATTGATTATATTATTAAATTATTAAATTATTGATTGTATATAAATTGAATGTATGAATTGAATATTATTTATATACAAAAAGTTTTTAAATTTCCTTCCAATCATTTAAATTGAATAATAATTAATTAATTAATTGAGCAATGCAATTTGCATGATATGATAAATGATCAACTTCATATGGAATACCTTATCAAATTGATAATATTGAAACTGAAAAAATTTTAATTTCAAAAAAACAAAAAACGCATTAAAAAAAATGATAAATTTAAGAGACAACTTTTTTGTCGAATTTTCTAAATTATTGAGTGCAAAAAAAAAGTGATAAATGGAATGATAAAATATATCATCGTGAGAAAATGTAATCATTCCACGCAATTGTTAGACATCACAATTTATCATGATAACATTGATATCTTCCTTTTAGATCATTAGTTATTGATTATATAATGATAACATAATGAGAAAATTAGGCATTGATAATGGGAACACAATTATCATGATAACATTGATATCTTCTTTTTTAATCATTAATTACTGATTATATAATGATAACATAATGAGAAAATTAGGCATTGATAATGTGAGTTTATTTTATGCAAAAATTTATAATTAAATAATTTTAATTACGAATAATTTCTTTTTTGACGAAATTATTTCAACGCTGCAAAAATTAGGAATTTTCTTAATTTTTGAATTATTCTTAGTATCACTAACGGATGGAAATTATTTTGAGAAATTTTTTGTTATTATATTTTCAGGAAAATTTGATTTATATCCGGAAAAAAGGACTTTTTAGGTATAAGAAAATAAAATATAAAAAAATGAAATATTTCAATTAACAATTTAATAATTAAATCCTAAATGTGAAAAACTTTTTTATTAATTAATGAATTAATTAAAAATGTTATTGAAAATTATAATTTGTAAATTTCATTAACATGGAAACGGAGAGAGAGAGAGAGAGAGAGAGAGATACGATTAATTCGGATGAAAAATAAATTCTATCCATTAAAATTTTTCTTGCATTATTTTTCCATTCTTTCAATTTCCGTTCTTCTATCCCGTCTTTCCTCATATCGATATTTCATATCTCAATCGTTTAGATATTCATTGAGCTGTCGACAATATTTGAATGGAATAATCTGTGCAGCAAAATATCATCTTTTCAGTTCTAATCAAAAAATAAATTAATTATGGTAATTTTTTATTAATTAGCATCTGAAAAATTTTCTTTGAAGCAAATTTTATTTTGGTAAAAAAATAAAACAATAAAAAGTATTTTTGACAAATTCCAATTAATGTTGGTTAATGAAAAATCATAAAATGAATTAATTAAAAATCATAAAATAATCGATAAGTTGTTGAAATTATAATTATTGCATCGGTTGAATGAAACATAATCATTCTCTCCGAAATTACTTTAACAGTATTTTTGCGGCAATTAATTTAGAATTCGAAAGTAATTAATTTGAAAATATTATCACCCCAATTATATTTTTCAAATTGAATATGAGATTATCAATAAATATCAATACTTGTATGAGAATATGAGCCTATCAATAAATATCAATACTTATTATCAGTAATACTATTTCATCTTTCATATTGCAAAATTAAATGTAATATATACTATTACTGATAATAAGTGCAGTAGTGCTACCGCTGATAATAAGCATTGATATTTCGATATTTGTTTCAGAAAATCTTTCATATGCAAAATTAAATGTAATGCTTAACAACGAGATTATAAAATTATTTCTTTTATATCATAGAATGAGTTAATATGTTAATATTCGAAACTTTACTATTTAAACATATAAAAGTTTAAAGGTAAAAATATGCTTAAAGGATTAAATTACAAATAAAGCTATTAAATTAATTATCTCTCTTATAATGATAGGTAAATGCGAAGCGATGTGCATGAAAGATCCGTACATGTGATAACTTAATCACTTATCATATCATAGCTATAAATTGGCAAAAAAAAACTGAAGACATGAAAGTTTACTTTAAGCTAAGTTATTAATCAAACAATGCTTACGAATGTCAAGCAAAAATAGATATGTTAAGGATAATTTCATTTCAAACATATTAGTTGATATCATATTGATTATATGCAAATAATTAATTATCTTTGCTACAGTATGTAATAATGGAGATGAAAGTAATGATTATCGGCATTGCAAATACGCAAAAGTAGCTTATCAGCATTCTAATCATGTCAAAAGGTTTTCAAACTAATATCAGATATTCACAATTGTCACCTTGTAAATAGTAAAGTTTTTGGGAGATGAGAATTGATATGATGATATAGAAAGGAAAAGCCCTGTAAAGGAAAATCTAATAATAGCATAACGATTGAAAGACATGATAGTCATTAGACCGGTGACATTTACATGAGAATTAATTTTCAATAATTTAACCAATGACGATCGAAAATTAGCCAAGTGATTTCATCATCACATTACACATTGTAACATTCATTAAATAATAATTTATGGAATGAATTACTTCAGTGAGAAATATTTCAGGTGTAAATTATTTTATTATTTAGATATAATTATCATAAATTATTATTTCCAGTTATGCGGATATTCCTAATTTGAGAAAGTTATAATCTTTAGTTATGCGGATATTCATAATTTGAGAAAGAAAAGTTATAAAAGTTATAAAATATTTCAGGTGTAAAAAATTATTATTTAGACATAATTATTATCATAAAAATTATTATTTCCAGTTATGCGGATATTCCTAATTTGAGAAAAGATGCAAAATTTTATAATGAAAAATATTTTGTTTGGTGGATATTTCTACTCCTCTTTTTGTCTACTACGAATGCCAATAGTAATTTCATTAGCATAGCGATAATTTTTCTTTGAATTAAAATTTTATTAAGAATAGTCAAAAAATAGATTAATTTAATTCAATAATTAATAAAATGAAAATGTTTGCAGTTGCAATAATGAGCAATAAATTTCTAATGAATATAATTCTGCAAGTTCTTCTTGCAGTAATTTAGCAATTTTACCGAATTCATTTTTCAACTATTCTGGTAGTTCTTCTCCTTGTTGGTTTATTTATTGGCAAGGAAGTGAAATCCTTTGTTGGACAGATATCGGATTGATTGTTTGCTTTGTTTGTTAGTTAATGGAATTATGCATTGATTTAATTCAATAATTAATATTATGAAAATAATTAATATTACAAATTAATGTTACATAATAATTAATTAATATAAAATAATAAAAAAAATTAATATTACAGTAATGAGCAATAAATTTCCATTGAATATAATTCTGGAAGTTCTTCTTGCAGTAATTTAGCAATTTTACCGAATTCATTTTTCAACTATTCTGGTAGTTCTTCTCCTTGTTGGTTTATTTATTGGCAAGGAAGTGAAATCCTTTGTTGGACAGATATCGGATTGATCGTTTGCTTATTTGTTAGTTAATGGAATTATGCATTAATTCTTTCAATTTCACACATACTTACGATACTTATGTTTTGCTTAAAAATATCCCATAGACATTAAGCAGAGTGATTCTTGTCAGATATCATGATAATAACTTTGCGCGCTGATAAGATAATAAAACGCTTATTGGAAATGAAAATATTAGTAATTGTGTAACAAATTATATGCAGAATTGAAATAAAGGAAATCCGAGCTGAGATATTTTATTAATTTCAGATTTCAGAGTTCTCGGTTAACACTCAGAATAGTAAGCAACACTACCAATTATCGCCGATTTTTTTTGTCATTAAGAGTAAAACAAAACCGGAAAAGATTCTTTCTGTACGTTTTAAAAAAATATTGCAAGTTGAATTCTGGCAAAATTTAAAAAGTTTCGATCGAAATCTTTTACTTTGCTATTGCAATTTAAATAAGAGTGCGTGTAATGACATATTATCCATTTGATGAAAACTAATACAACAAAATGCAGCAAATTTTTCCCTTTTGCTAATATCACCTCACCTCAGGTATAAAAGTGAAATGACAATGTGCAAATAATGTTGCCAGTGCTTTGCATAAATTATTTTTTGCAGTTCAATACAATAGTTGAAATGAAATTATTTAGTATGATAGATTAAGCATCAATTGCTGATATTTTTATTGTTAAACGTATTTTATTAATACACGTTGCCTGCCATTTCCAACTTTATAAGCATTTACATTTACGATCCTTTGATAGTTTCCAATAAAAATTATTTGATGATCTCTGTCCTTTCACAAATTTCATTCAATAAACATTATTTTATTTATTTCAACAAAGAATGGTAGTCTATTCCCAAAATTTCGGCATTATATAAAAACATTGTTACGATAAATGTACCTATAAAATATAGCTTTAATAGTTGCAATAAGTTGCCAGGCATGTTGTTTGCATGTGAAAAGTATTGTTATTGTACTGTCAATGATTGCGCGACAGTTTGCTTTTCGATGCTAATATATTTCGAAATGTTTTGTTTGGAAGAAATTTCACTTTCAAGCAATTTGTCAAAGAGCGAGCGGTGTGATTTCTCGTAAGCAACCGTTCCATAATGTATCGATAAATTTGAATATTTTTCAGAATCGGCAAGAAATCATATCAATCAATATGCATTTCATTCATTTCATCCTTCTCGCCTTCTTCTTCCAATTAAACATCCAAACTTCAGTGAGTTCATTAAAAATTAAAAAATAAAACATTTGATATGTCGAAGATATCAGATTTTCAACGTTTGATGAAATGGATTGTTTTCTATAACTTCAGGAGGCGCAAACGGAACAAACAATGCCCTTCAATTTATCGTTGCCGAAAGTGAGCGAAAGCGGGATCCGAATGGAACGACACCATTCATCAATGAAAGAAGTGGAAAAAGAACAGACAGCATCGCCGAATATACCAATTCAAGGAGCGAATGCTAAACAAAAATTACAGAATCTTATATCTCCAAAAAAAGTATGGATGAAAAAACATGTAATGGATCAGACGAATGAAAAGCTTCATGGTTATTCAGAATGTAGCAAAACTTTCTCTCAATCATCCGATATGGAAAGGCATTTGATAAATTGTACCAATGAAAAGCTCCAAATTCATTTGCTGACAAATATCGGTAAAGAAGAAACACAGTCACCGAATTTATTAATCCAGGGACTGAATGCCGAACAAAAATTACGACATCCTGCGTTTTGGTTGGAAAGACGTACGAAGATTCATGTCGGTAAAAGGCCGTGCAATAGTTCGGAATACCGAAAAAGTGTCCGTCACCCATCGAATTTGGGAAAACATATGAATATTCATACTGATGAAAAAACGCATAGTTGTCTGAAATGCAGAAAAAATTTCTCTCGATCACCGGATTTGGAAAGACATATGAGGATTCATACCGGTGAAAAGCCGTATAACTGTACAGAATGTGAAAAACGCTTCTCTGATCCATCGAATTTTAGACAACATATGAAAATTCATACCGGTGAAAAGCCGTACAATTGCTCAGAATGTGGAAAACGTTTCTCTCATTCATGGTCTTCTAACAAACATATGAGGATACATACCGGTGAAAAACCGCACGGCTGTCCGAAATGTAAAAAAAATTTCTCTCACTTAGTACATTTGAAAACACATATGAGAATTCATACCGGTGAAAAGCCATACAATTGTTCAGAATGTGGAAAGCGTTTTTCTGATTCATCGGATTACAAAAGACATATGAGGATTCATACCGGTGAAATGCCATACAATTGCTCAGAATGTGGAAAACGTTTCTCTGATGGAACGACTTTTAAACGACATACAAGGATTCATTCCGGTGAAAAACGGTACAATTGTTCGGAATGTGGAAAACGTTTCTCAGATTCATCGGCTTTTAAAAGGCATATGATGATTCATACCGGTGAAAAACCGTATAGTTGTTCCGTATGCAAGAAAAGATTTTCTCGAAATGGTGATTTGAATAGACACATGAAAACTCATCAGAAAGAGAGTTCCTCTTCCAATTGAATTGCATGCAACCAAGGTAATTCACTTTGAAATCACATATGAAGATATTTTAGAAGGGAAGTAGCTAAATGCATTTAAATTGAAATATGTAGTAATATTTCTGGATTTGATTGATTGTTTCTATATTGATTGAATTCTTGCAATTTATTCATTCATAATATTTATCATATCTTTTATCACTTAGTGCAGTTAATGTTATTCGTTATAAGTTATTCATTTTATGTC